CTGATGACACAAAACTGGGAGGAGTAGCTGATACCCCAGAGGGCTGTGCTGCCATCCAGAGGGACCTAGACAGACTGGACAACTGGGCAGTGAGAAACCTTATAAAATTCAACAAGTCCAAGTGCAAGGTCCTGCACCCAGGGAGGAATAACCCCAGATACCAGTACAGGCTGGGGACTGATCTTCTGGAGAGCAGCTCTGCAGAGAAGGACCTGGGTGTCATGGTGGACGAGAACTTGACCATGAGGCAGCAGTGTGCCCGCATGGCCAAGAAGGCCAGTGGGATCCTGTGGTGTGTTAAGAGCGTCTCCAGCAGGTCGAGAGAGGTGATCCTGCCCCTCTACTCAGCCCTGGTGAGGCCACATCTGGAGTATTGTGTCCAGTTCTGGGCTCTGCAGTATAGAACGGATGTGGAGCTGCTGGAGGGAGTCCAGAGCAGGGCTACAGGGATGATCAGGGGCCTGGAACATCTGCCCTATGAGGAGAGGCTGAGGTGGGTCTGTTCAGCCTGGAGAAGAGAAGGCTGAGAGGGGATCGAATCAGTCTCTATATATCCGCTTGGATTCAGTCCTGTGCCCCATGCTCTAGGTGACCCTATATGTGCAGGGGGGTTGAACTAGATGATCTCTAGAGGTCCTTTCCAACCTTAACAATTATATGATTCTATGATTCTATGAAATCATTATTAGATTGTGTCAGTCTACTCTAGTTGATGGCACTCTGGAGAGACAAACCAAGCTGAATGTGGATGGCTAAGCTGAAGACAAGACATTCTGCTTGAGAAGTGGAACTGGATTTTGGGTTGTGAGCAGCATGTATTGGAGATCCTATTCACCTTATGTATACCTACAGAAGAGCTGTTTTTGTGGTATCTGAGTGAGTGCAGAGTACAGATTATAGAGGGAAAGCAAAAGAGCATCTCTAGCTTTTCTTTTTGAAAGTTAAAATCCTGCAAGCCTGGTGTGTCTCAACAGGATTAGCAGCAGATTTGCTGCTTAGTTAGGAAGAAGATGTGCTAGGAATTAAAATGTCACAGTAGTTATTTTAGCATTACTTTTAGCTAGGTATGAGATCACTTTTTAGCTTGGGTCCGAGTAGCAGCCAGGATATATTATGCAATAGAAGAGCAAAAGTAATTTGATAGTGGTCTATGCATTGTAATTTCAATCTCTCCCCTGTTTCCACAGCAACAGAGTGCTGTCCTTCCCTCAAGATTAAATTGCATTTGAGTCTTGAGCTTGGTAGTAGCTTGATGTAAACAAGACAGGTCTGAAGACAGTCACTGGGACTGACTTGCTTCAATCTCTCCCAGGTTTCCTGCTCACAAAAGGCATGCCATAAATTCAGATCCCTAGAATTTATGTAAGACACATAAGGCATAGCTTTGTGAAGGCTTTCTCTTTGTACAGCACTCCAGGAGACTGTGTATTTTAGCTGAGTATGTTTTCACACATACCAAATTGTGTTATTAAGGTGGCAGAATTTAGTGTAGATTATGTTTAATGTAAGTTGCTCACTGCATGATAGTTGAAAGAAGAAAAGTAATGAAGCTCATCATTCCATGCAAATATGGTATCCCTGGATACTGCTGACACTAAATACTGCTGGGATAATACGAAAGAGAAGATACTGAGTTCAACATTGTGACTTAAATATCAGCAGCAAATCTAATGAATTGGCTTGTCATTTCTTTATTGCCGGAGCTGGAACTATAATCATAATCACATGGCCAAGTCCAATTAAATCCCCAAGATTAAAACACTGTTTGTAGTAGGTGAAAAGTTTACAGTTTAAAAAATGGCTATATTCTGCCTCTTCTGCCTCATCACCTGGCTTCACCCCAGCTCTAACTGCTCTAACTAGCAGAGTAAAAAAAAAAAAAAAAGCATAACAGACAAACAAAGTTAACATGCACTTGTGTTCTCAGATTAATAATAATTTATTGCACTCTATTATTATTGTTATCAATTTTATAGTTTTTCCTATTATTCAGAATACTCTTCTTGTCTCTGCCATCTCTAGTGGGTTCGTCTCCACTCTATCCTGTTCCAGAATCTGATCCACTTATTAATTTATTTTTTGGTTACTCTACAGTAACAACATAGCTGCTATTCCAGATTAGATTTAGTAAATGAAATAGATAAAAGAGAGTAGAAGTACTGTTCAGAGTATTGTCATTCTCTGTTGCAGCTTGGAGCGGGTCTGGAATGCCAGACATCAACTTCATAGAAGCTGGAACTGACTTCGTTTATTTCGCGTTACATATCACAATATATAGCAATTCGCATAGCAACATCTCGGTTACAAGCATTAACGTGCAAACATATCATAGGTTGCTAAGCCGTATCCAAGCGCCTAATCGCAATGGCCACACTGACATCTCAAGACAGCTGTACTTCCTCAAAGTTGTCTTTTATAATGAGCAACTTTCTCATTTCCCGCCAACTTAGCCCAGTCAAGCACTGGTCAAGAACACCCCCATGTCCCTGTCCTCCACACTTGTTCACTCAGTAAAGTACGGGAAGCGGCTATATCACTTAGTAAATACCTTACAGCATACATCCATCATTACAGACAAAATAAATAAGGTGAGACATAGTAAGCACTATTTCTGTAGTGATATCTTAGTGGATCTGAATGTATGCAAGTTAACTTGCCACAGACTCTGTGCTTTCTCTCTCTTGCTCTCTTGTTGTCTTTCTCTGTTCTCCTCAACTAAGTGAATCAACCAGCTATGTAGCAGAATAATAAACAGGATATTCAAATATGAGATATTCATTCAATTCACTGATAACAGATAGAAAAAACACTACGCAAATGTTAAAGGCTTCCCTCAGCTGCCTGATTATTCTAATAAATAATACATTTTTAATTACATACCTGTTAATTTAGAATAGTATA